AGTAAACAAATGGGTCATGACCTCAGTCAGATCAGCGGGTTAACTGACAATGGTCTGTTCAGTCTCCTCTTCTCCTTGTGTCAGCCCTCAGCTCATTTCTGCTCTCTGCTAATCCTGTGTGCTCCAACACTGTGAGGCTGTCAGTGGGTTAACACAATTTCACATTTCTCCATGTGATTCGAATTTGAATGATTTAGAAATGCTTCACATCTGTTTGCATTTATGCATAGACAACAATCATGATTCAAACTAGCATTTTCGCATGATGTTTTATTCTTGTTGAACATAGCTATTAGTAGACAATATAGACAGGTATTGTTTTGCATCAAGGACTGTCAGAGTCAGACAAAAGACTAAACACCCACCATGCTGAACTCTTGACTGCTCAAGAGGAGCACAACCTAGAAGACACCTCAGCTACTGCTTGTGTGGACCCTCAGTGTGGGATGTTTGTTTCTCATTTTTACGTTAGGGGTGAGCAAGGGATCAAACGATGTGAAGCAATGTCAATCTCTATTATATTCCTGCAGAGTGAAACCTGTTTGAATTACTGCATTCAGGCAGGAGGCGAGAGCTCTGTAATCGAGTGTTTGTTTAGAGATGGTGGTAACGAAGGACCATATGCTTCTGTGTAGTGATGTGGACCTTTCTGTGTTGATCTCTCTCTATTGAACCTGGTAGACAGGCTGTCAAGGAGATGACAGGTTTAGCATCAGTGTGGGGTTGGTTCATGAACTGTGAGACTCTTTACTGAAGCGCACGCACACTATGACACTTGAAAAAAAATGCATTCTTGCTTTGTGATATTTCAGTCAAATATTCAGCCTCATTTCTTGCTGCACATATTCTGGCACATGAAATTTAAGAATGACATAAACATTTTGGCACATTCAATAGCCCTTCATACGTGTGAGCCTGTGTTTTCCAGACCTCCAAATTACTTTTCTATGATATCAGAATTATTTAGTAACCTTAATATTCAGGATCATCCTCTGTGTCTGCATTAGCTAAACAACGTGTCTCCTTTATGTTCTTGGACCGTGTGCTGCATTCATGATGATTTAGTCATGATCCCTTCAAAATGACCTGTGTTACAACAAAGCAGGCACATACGCTCTCCAAACCACCACTAGTCTCTTTCATTTTTTTTTTCATCAGCCACAATCAGATCTGGGACTCAGACAAACTCTTTGAAATCCTCCATTATCTTTGCAAGACAGCTGTTTACCTACCTTCCCTTTTCTTTTCGATAGGGCCCTCCTGGTACCAAAGGCGAGCGAGGGGAGCGGGTAAGGCTGATCTATTGTGTAAAAGTTTGAGAAGTTTAAATAAGCTTGGTATGGGGCAAGTCATGCACATAATGGTCGGGTATTTGCAGTGGGATTAAGGGACCCTCAGACAGACATCCTGATACAAATCACAAGCGCTAGCATATATATATTTATATATTTCCTTTGCTTTCGCCTCCATCACACACCTTTCCTCTGTTAACCCATGTCTGACTGTAAAGCTGTATTATGCTCAGTCTTGAACTCTGTTATTATGTCTCTGTGAAGTGTCATAGGGTTGGGCATTAGATAATAAGTCTACCGTGAATGTTAAATTGCACCTATTAAACACTTACGCTTTATGGGCTGTTATCTGCTTCGTTAAACACCCTGTAATATGTGTTTGTTGGAGAAAAAACATAGCAGCACCAAAGCAAAGGACTCTTAACCATCTGTTTTTTGTCTTCAAAGGGTGACATGCAGTCTCAGGCAGTTGTTCGCTCTATAGCCCGACAAGTGTGTGAACAACTAATTCAGAGTGAGTATTTTTTTGTTGGTCTTGAACATGTAGCCAGTTAGTACTGTAATAGGCACTTCCTCAAAGCATACAAATGCAGCAAGTATACAAAGCCTCCATAATGAGGGAAAGATGTAGTCAAGTGCTTGGGTCTTCATCTTGGATTTCTGAGTTTGTTAGTAATACCTGAATGGGCAAGTTATGTATGATGTTGGCTTTTTATTATATATATTTTACCCCATTTTCTCCAAATTTGGTCATTTGCCAGTTCCCACCCATGAGCTACCTCTACCCTATCACATGACAGCTACCAACTGGGGGAGAGTGAGGGCTAGCATGTGCTTCCTGGCCAGCCACTGTATCTTTTAGAACTGCTGCTCATGCTGCAACACATTGCAGCTGAACACAATCGGAGCAAAGCGCTATCTGCCTCCACAAACACGCAGTACATTAGCAAAGCTAATTATGCTGTCTTGGACTCACGTCCATAGGAACAATGGCATTTGAATTCATGGGCTCCAGGCGATCTCCAGAGTGAATATGTTTCTGTTGCACCACTCTGGAATCCCTGTTTTGCTTTTCTTATTGAGTTTTTTTTTTTACTTTGCTCAATATAATTTTGAAGTAATATTTTGTTACCCTTTCGGTTCTATTAATGTATCTCTCTTCACTTTCTTGCTTTCCACTCTTCTCATCAGGCCACTTGTCTCGCTACAACTCAATCCTGAATCAGATCCCCAGTCAGTCTGTGTCAGTCCGGACAGTGCCAGGTCCTCCAGGGGAACCAGGCCGTCAGGGCCCTGCGGGGCCACAGGGAGAGCAGGGACCTCCAGGTAGACCAGGCTTCCCCGGAGGTAATGGACTGAGTGGCCGTCCAGGAGAGAGAGGTGAGTTCATGCATACCAAGGGGGAAAAAAAAAGCATACATCACAGTTCACGAGATTATGTTTCAGTGTTAATGTTATTGACCGTTATAAAATACTGTTGACATAATAAATAACAATCACAAGAAAGTTGCAGAGAGATAACGAGCAAGTGAGAATCACAAGACCAGCATCACTTCACACATGCAGTGTTGCATACACAGACAGCGTGTCAGAATGACACAAAGCACAACCTTGATATGATTAGGTGACTGGCCGCACAAGACCAACAACGTTTGCTAATGAGAGATGGTTTGAGGCGGTTAATGGTGTAGCCTATCATTACAAGAGTGCTAATTACAGTATGTGCCCATGGTTGGGGGAAAAGTGTCTGTCTCTCCATAAAGGCTCATAATTCTGAGAAGTTTTGCATGACACAGTGTGCCTTTGGTTTTGGAATAGCAGAGAACTAATAATAACTGCTCAAGACTATTTTTGTATGTGGTCAGTCTTTTGATATTTTCCATGCAGCAGGGTATATTGAACCAGAAATCTCTGTGGAACCTTTAGCTTTCCTTCTGGACTCCATATTTTTGTTGTTCTTTGCCAAATGATTAGCGACCCATGAAAAGCATGTGGCTCTCACACTCTCTCCAACTCCAGTGGTCAGTGGTGGAAGGTAAACAGAAGAGCTGGATAGACACCCTAGCCATTGCATGTGCAGACTTGTTGTGTCAGTGTGTGCTACACTTGGTCTGCTATCTTAATCCCTCTGTCTGCCTGGTAGTGAAAGAGGCCAGCAGTGTGCAAGTCCAGAGAGGCAGATGGTTTCGCTTGGTCTCACTTTAGTGTCTGTTTTATCATCTGTCCAGGGCTCCCAGGAGAGAAAGGAGAGAAAGGCAGTCCAGGTGTGGGGACACAGGGACCCCATGGCCTCCCAGGACCCCCAGGTAAACAAATAACCACTCTTATTTGCCAGATATGCCACTTTGTTCATCTCTGGTTGTTGAAGGCATAGATATAGCTTATATTTAGATGAGACTATATTTAGTTATATATTCAATGGATACAATAATAGGAACACCTGCAGCTGCACATTAATGCAATTATCCAATCAGGCAATCGTCTGGTAGCAGCGTAATGCATAAAATCAGGTCAAGAGCATGCATCCCTTACAATGGCTACTTCCAGCATGATAATGCACCATACCTCAAAGCACAAGTCTGGTTCTTTCAAATTTAAAAAAAAAAAAAAAAATGTCCCGACTGTTCCCGTTAGGGGTCGTCATGGTGGATCATTGATCCGCATATACCGATCAGCCATAACATTAAAACCACTGACAGATGACGTGAATAACATTGATTATCTTGTTATAGTGGCACCTGTCAAGGGTTGGGATATATTAGGCAACAAGTGAACAGTTAGTCCTCGAAGTTGATGTGTTGAAAGCAGGAAAAATGGGCAAGCATAAGGATCTGAGTGACTTTGACAAGGGCCAAATTGTGATGGCTAGATGACTGGGTCAGAGCATCTCCAAAATGGCAGGTCTTGTGGGGTGTTTCCGGTATGCAGTGGTTATTGCCTACCAAAAGTGGTCCAAGGAAGGACAACCGGTGAACCAGCGACAGTATACATGGGTGCCCAAAGCTCATTGATGCACATGGGGAGCAAAGGCTAGCATGTCTGGTCCGATCCCACTGAAGAGCTACGGTAGCACAAATTGCTGAAAAGGTTAATGCTGGTTATGATAGAAAGGTGGGCAGTGTTCTGCTGGGAAACTTTGGGTCCTGGCATTCATGTGGATGCTATTTTGACATGTACCACCTACCTAAACATTGTTGCAGACCAGGTACACCCCTTCATGGCAACGGTATTCCCTAATGGAAGTGACCTCTTTCGGCAGGATAATGCACCCTGCCACACTGCAAAAATTGTTCAGGAATGGTTTGAGGAACATGACAAAGAGTTCAAGGTGTTGACTTGGCCTCCAAATTCCCCAGATCTCAATCCAGTCAAACATCTGTGGAGTGTGCTGGCCATCAAGTCCAATCCATGGAGGCCCCACCTTGCAATTCACAGGACTTAAAGGATCTGCTGATAACGTCTTGGTGCCAGATACCACAGTGCACCTTCAGAGGTCTTGTGGAGTCCATGCCTCGATGAGTCAGAGCTGTTTTGGTGGCACAAGAGGGACCTACACAATATTAGGCAGGTGTTTTTAATGTTATGGCTGATCACTGAATTTGATTTGGCACAGTTTTTACTCCGGATGCCCTTCCTGGAGCAACCCTCCCCAGTTTTATCCAGGCTTGGAACCAGCATTGGGAGTGCACTGTCTTTGTATGGGGTTGGTTCCCTGGCCAGGAATCTAACCCGGGCTACGGCGGTGAGAGAGTTGAAGCCTAACCACTAGTCCTCCAGAGACCCCTTCAAGCTTTTAACAATCCCTGCACTAATTTAATGCTCACTTTTGGTTGCTCTGAGTTTGGTCTGGAATATGAAACAGATATTTAAGTTGAAGGTTTTTCGAATATATCTTGAGAGATATCAGCTGAGGACCTGTATCTGGCTACGTTTTTTTTTTTTTTTTTTTAAATCAATACTATTCATGACTGAAGCTCAGAAAAACTACATTACCAAAAGAGCCAATGGCATTTGGGGAAGGCTTACCTTGTGCTGAAAATACAGAACTGTCTTTTATGGTGCAAAATCCAGTTCCAAATGTGGAGCTTAGCTTAATGAGGATTGCATCTGGCACTGTGTTGATATGTGTTAATGCCTCGCTGCAGGTCCTCCAGGTGAGGGCCGGACAGGAAGCCAGGGTCCTCCAGGCAGGCCTGGACCTCAGGGCACTCCAGGTCGCCCTGGAAGTCCTGGCATCTCTGGCGCTGCTGGACCACCAGGCTACTGCGACCAGAATGCCTGCTTAGGGTACAACATAGGAGGTAAAGAAAGTTCTTATTTTCTCTCCTTTGTTTTTTTTTTCGTTCTGTATCTCTCCTATTGATCTAATAGTGAAGAGCCAATATTTAAGTGTTAGCTTCTGCCATTGTCTCTAACTATTGCAGATACTCCTGAGGACATAAAAAAAAACTTAATACAGGGTCATTTCTGATACTGCTGAGAATGCTATTTCCCAAAGTAATTTAACAACACCAAATACTATTTTCTTACACTGATTGTGCACTTTTTTCTCAATACTTGCAAAATATAGTATTTGTGTAATATATTTCATATATATGGCCATGTTCTTTTTAAAAAAAAAATCTTTTTGTTCACATATAAAAGTCAACACTTTTGCCACTATGCAGGATTATCATCCAATAAAATAGTCTTTTACTAGCAGAGACAAAGAACAGTCATTACAGTAATTGTCCACATAAATTTAATAGAGTGTATATGCTATCAAGTTTTACAATGAAACTTGTGAAAAGTTCATGGCTATCCAGATGTGGGTGATTTTTATGAGGGAGAGTGTATTCTGGAATGTGAAACATACTGCAGCATCAAGCAGGGGGTCATTAGATGTACCACTAATTTTGGAAACGTGGTACTAGTAGCTGGTGGCTCGATTGGGGTGACATTTATTTCCCACTGATATTGCATTTGCAAAAATATGTAAAGGTAACAGACTTTTTAAACCTAGGGAAACTGTCCTTCACAATGACCTAAATAACTTAAAACTAATAAAATCTACAGCAAATAGAAAACAGCATTTTTGCCCATCTCAACCCACTATAACTACATGGAAAAAATATTACAATAAAAATTATTTAAAAAAATAAAAATAATGATTAATTTTGCAATATTATGTGAAGTCATTTCATCTGATGGTTGAAACAGCCCTTTCCATGAGTCGTCCATTATAGGTAATGAAAAATGCATAACATTCACTCAATCCTGTTAGCTGAACACATTCACCCCTTAGAAATATTTGGAATATTCCACAATATATCCAACAGTTTCCTGAAGATATTTAGAAGAAGAAAAATTTCTTTCATTCTTTTTTTTCACTATTTTCAATAATTAAATTGATATTGACTGAAAAGGTTACTTTGAAAGTATGGGCCTGTTACACAAATTACACACTGAAAATAAATTAAGAAAAAAACCCATAAATTTTAAGTAAATCATTATAATATCCTTAATGTCCTTATGCTATTATGCTAATTAAAAATTTCTTGATTTGCAAATTCTATGCTAAAAACCTTTCTCAAGCAAGCTGGGATATGCGAAAAACTGCATTTCACTGGCTCTGTACTTGTACTCTACACAATGACAATAAAGTTGAATCTAATCTAATCTAATCTAAGAGCAAAATGGAGCCAATATCAGCAGAAATGAGATGCTGTTGCCCGAGATGGGTTAACACATAGTTTGAATGGTAAAATACATTTTCTTTTATCTAATGTTGAAAATGAGTTTAAAAAAAAGGAACTTTATTTTTTAAGAGTGAAAGGGCTAAATGTCACCCCAGTTTTGGAATCACCTTGCTAATGGATTAAAATCGTTAAAAAATGTTTTTAAATCCACAATGTAACATTGAAGAAACTGGTACATTATAGTGAGATGCACTTAAGAAGTGTTATATTAAGTTCTCATGCTGATATGAATTAACTGCAACAGTCTTTAAGTTTTCAGGCTAACGTAAACTTTGTACATAACAGAACATTTGTACAGTAAACCTCATGAAAGTAACTGTGACTACAACTGTGAGCCAACTGAAAGCCTGAGCCGAGTTGGTCATTTTAACGATCATGTGGGTGTTGTACTTACACGGTGTGTTTCTCTCTCCTTTCCGGGACCTCCTCATCTGTCTCCTGACTCTAGTTGAAGGCGAAGTGCAGTATGAGAATGACTACTGAGAGGCATTCTCTGAAACTCTGCTGCCATTTCTCTTCTTTCCCTTTATCCCTCCATCCCTCCATCCTCCATCCTTTGGCAAAAAAAGACTGTGGCTAGGGAAAGACTTGTCTACAACCCCAAGCTTCCATATTATATAATGCCATATTCTCACACTCCTGAAGATCACCACCACCACACAGCAAGTTCCTGCATGGCTATGCACACAAATCCATACAGCTTTCTTTGCTGCCATCTCTTTCTCTCTCTCTCAGAATGTTTTTGACAGCCATACCTGATGGCTCGTTCCCAGAAAGCCATAATTTCTCATACATCATCTTCTGCTTCCTGTTTTCTCTAACACTGTGCCTTTATCTCTCTGCTGCTTTCCTCTGACGCTAACCCAATGGCTACTTTCTTGGTGGTGGTGAATGACATAGACAGAGGAAACATGGATGACCAACCCAATTCCCCAATCTTCCCATAGTACAACAGTTACCTCCCAGATCCTACCAAAACTACGGGCCCACTGACACTAATGATGAAGATGGGGAGGAGGAAGAGGACCCGTATGGCGGATACCGCCGCTACCCACCCCAGTACTACCAGCCCAGCTATCCCAACCCTCGTGTTGCCCAGCCTGGCACTGCTTATCCCGGTGCCATGATGAGGGAGCGAGGAACGCACCGCTTCTCCCGCAGCATGACTGAGAGGAGTGGAACTCCGGCCACAACACAGGAAGAGGATAAATCTGCACACTGACAGCCCCATCCAGAAATACACACTTAGTATTAAGCAAGTGTCCAGTAGGATAGCATTAACTGAATGGTATTTGGAAAGTGCCTGATGGGGGTGGGTGGTATGGAGGGAGTGCAGTAAACCCATACTGTGCCCGCTGACCTTCAATTTTTTTGTTTGTTTATTTAAAAGTGCATGCGGTCATTTAAAACCACAAAAAGCTCTCAAACAATGCAGTAGATTTATATTAGTTGTCCTTTTGGGAGAAAGAACATTGAATTTGTACAGTTTGTGTAATTGTTTTTATAATAAAAATGGAGATTGAATTTCAGTCCGTCCATGTTTGATCATCCATGCTTTCAATGTTCCTGTCACGTTTCTGTGATTTATTTATAGAAAGATGAATCCTTGGCAGTACCGGACAATTTAAAAAAACACATTGAACCAAATCTAACATTGCCACTGATACTTACAAATGTCACACATGTCTGGAACGTGATTGTACATTCACATGTCAATGTGAATTTCCTGTGGATTTGGTCTTATAAGGATAAATGTTATGCAGTTATTGGGGATTCAGTAAGGGCTCTTGAACTTTTTTTTTATTTAATACAAGAGCTCAGACTGGAAGTCCTTTTCTGTCTCTCTCTCTCTCTCTCTCTCTGTATGTGCTTGTCCTATGGGCCTATTCACTGTGGAAGAGTGCTGAATAGTTAGGCCTGTGGTCTACTGTCCTCTCAGAATGAATCAAACTGTGTGTGCTGAACAGGTGCCAGAGGAATGGCTCACTACCAAATTTTTGAAGCGGAAATGTAACTTATTTTTACTTTGTTTTGTAACCAATAAAACTGTAATATGATAGCGGCGATGTCTTGTCTGTTCTTTGTTAATGTTTTCTTTTTAAAAGCCCATAAGGCAGTCAGCTCAGACGCAGGAATCTTGATTAGTGCTAAAATCAAAGACACTTTTGACGACTCCTGTAGACATATACGTCCTCCTTTACAACAGACATGTCAAATAGTGGAAACACTATTTCCACAATTGCAGTTCAACCCTGCAGCAGGACCTCGCTGACCTTCGTGACAGACTGACAGCAAACAAGGGTGTTTCATTTCCATCACCATCATGTTGTTCTGAGAGTTTAGTGCACTTCAAAGGGTAATGTGGCATTACAAGAGCCACACATAAACATATGATATCAATTAGGACTGAACCACAGTCCAATCAGACAGGCAGCAGCCTGCACAGAGGCCTGTGAAAGCCATTTGTGGCCAAAAGCACAGGCCAAAAAAATCAGTGTTCTAATACTAACTTGCTTTTCTGAGTTAATAGGGTTACCAAAAGCCTTTCTTTATGCCATGGCTCGATAAATACATTACTGAGTGTTTAAGAAATGTATCTGTCATTGGTTAACAATATATAATAAAATCAAGACATTTTTAAAGACACTTTATTTCATATAGACAAGAGTATGAAAAAAGAACATTTAGATGGATACTGAATCTGTCCAGTCGGTGATGTGATGAGGTCACTTCATTCTGTAGTCCTCTGGCCTGCGGAGACAGAAGAAAAGATTGTTTCATTTAAGCAGAGAAAATGTGGAATGACTTCTTCACCCTCACGATGGACTCCAGCAGAAGCCTCAATAAGTAATGATCGGAAAATAAATGACCTACATTCAATCCAGTAGCCATAACTCTCCTGGAAAAAAAAAGAAAAGAAAAGAAACTTCCTTCTTAGTTTTTGATGCCAGTTATGAATCATGACATCTCTGGTCACTAGAAGATTTACATCTAAATCATAATTAACAATACGTCATTTGTCACAGTTAATTCTGTACGACA